AAAAAAAAAAAAAGATATAAACCACATTCCATAAAATCCATAATTTAGTGGTTTTAGTCTATTCACAAGATTGTGCAACCATTGCCACTATTTCCAGAACATTTTATGACTCCTAAAAGAAACCCATTAGTAGTCACTCTCTGTTTTTCTCTCCCCACAGCCCCTGAGGAGCAACCAATAGTCTACTTTCTATGCCAATGGATTTGCATAGATGTTGCACATAAATGGAATCATACAGTATGTGGCATTTTGTGTCTGACATTCTTTCGATATAATGGTTTCAAAGTTTATCCATACTGTGTCATGTATCTGTATTTCATTCTTTTTGACATCTAAGTGATAATTCCATTGTGTAGATCTACCACATTTTGTTTATACATTCACCAGTTGATGGACATTTGGGTTAACTCCTCAGTAGTTATGAATAACGGTTCTATGAACCCTCATGTACAGGTTTTTGTGTAGACACATGCTATCATTGTTCCTGGGTATGTCCCTAGGAGGGAGATCGCAGGGTCATACAGTAATTCTACATTTAACTTTTTTTTTTGCAGTTTTTGTTCGGGGCTGGGTTTGAACCTGCCACCTCTGGTGTATGGTGCTGGGGCTCTCTACTCCTTTGAGCCACAGGCACTGCCCACTTTTTTTGGTTTTTTTTTTTGAGAGAGTCTCACTCTGTCACCCTGGGTAGAGTACTGTAATATCATAGCTCACAGCAACCTCAGACTCCAGGTTAGAGAGATCCTCTTGCCTCAGCCTCCTGAGTAGCTGGGACTATAGGCATGTGCCTCTAGGCCTGGTTAGTTTTTCTACTTTTTGTAGAGACAGGGTCTCAATCTTTCAATCTTGCTCAGGCTGGTCTTGAACTCCTTAGCTGAGACAATCCACCTGTCTCAGCCTCCCAGAGTGCTAGGGTTCCAGGCGTGAGCCACCTGGCCTAGCTTACATTATTTATTTATTTATTTATTTTTTGAGACAGAGCCTCAGGCATGTTGCTGTGGTAGAGTACGGTGGCTACACAGCTCACAGCAACCTCAAACTCTTGGGCTTAAGCAATTCTCTTGCCTTGGCCTCCCAAGTAGCTGGAACTACAGGCCACCACCACAAAGCCCAGCTATTTTTAGAGACCAGGTCTCGCTTTTGCTCAGGCTGCTCTCAAATCTATGAGCTCAGGCAATCCACTGGCCTCCACCTCCCACTTAGTGGGATTACAGGCGTGAGCCACCACACCCTGTGCCTTACATTTTTAACTTTTTGAGGAACTGCCAAACTGTTTTCCAAAGCAGTGGCTCCAGTTGCTATTTCCCCCAGCAATGTACACAATATAAGTATTCTGACACGTCCACATCCTCACCCACACTTGTTATTGTCCTTTTTTTTTCAGACAGAGTCTCAGAAGCTGCCCCCCTGGGTAGAGTGCCGTCGCATCACAGCTCACAGCAACCTCCAACTCTTCTGTGCTCAAGCGAGTCTCCTGCCTCCGCCTCCCAAGTAGCCTGGCTCCGACATAAGGCCTGGCTTTTTTTTTTTGGTTGCAGCCATCATTGTTGTTTGGTGGACCCAGGCTGGATTTGAACCAGCCACCTTAGGTGTATGTGGCTGGCTTCTTAGCCACTTGAGCCACAGGTGCCAAGCTGTCCTTCTTTTTTATTATAGTCTAGTGGGTGTGAAGTGATATCTCACTGTGGTTTCCATTTGCATTTGTCTGATGATTTCTCTTGATCCTGAAAAATGAGATGTTTGAGGTCACACAATGAGTGGCAGAGTGAGAAAATGGCTCAGATCTGTCTCCCATTTACAGAATGTTCCTCTGCTCTGTTGGCTCCAGCTTCTGAGGAACACCTTTGAGGCATTCTACAGCTCTTCAACACCTAAAATTACCGTAACTAGGAATCAAGATACAACCTTTAAAGTATTGTCCCTACGTAGCATATTTTAAAAGTAAAATTAATCTTATGGAGAAAAATGTAATGAATACAGGCCTTACTGTGAAACATTGATTTTTTTGGTTTTAAGTTTCTAGGGGCACTAAGTGAGAGGCACGGAGCCGATATGGAGAGGCGGAATGAGGGATACATTTTTCAGGTTTTAGTTCTTGGGTGGTTCAGTGAAGCCTGGGAGCAACTAGGGGGAAAGGGGTACGTGCAGCACCCCCCTGCCAACTTCTTTGCAGTATCTTCCCTCCCTCCCGGGCTCAGCAGACCCTCATGCTTACAAGGCAAGTCTAAACTGCCCGGCTCAGCACACACCCTGGGATTCTCTATCTTCCCAGGTCCCACTCAAGGTTCCCGACTTTTTCCGGCTGGACCGGGTGCGTCCTGAAACCAAGGTCTTACTTAGCATTCTTGTATCCCCAGCACCAAATGGACAGGTCCTTCCTGGCATACGTGGAGTTGAAAAGCATTTAATGAGTTTAACGGAAATCTATAGTCTCCACGCTCTTATAAATAACCTCTCCCGAAGGCTGAATATTCATCCTGGCAAAGTCACGGCAGAGGTACCCCGCCTCTCTCTTCATCCACGATTTCCTCAGGCCACCCTCGACGCTTGCCTAGAGTTTTCCTTCTTGGTATTTGTGCCCCGGACCAGCTCAGGGTGGGGCCCAGAGCTGAGAGGGCCAGTTATGCCTGAGGTCCCCCGCTGTTCAAGGCTGCAGGAGGACGCGATGGAACTCTCTAGGAACCCCCAGGAACCGGACGCTGCAGCCCCAGTTTCTGCAGTGACCGCACCGGCAACCGCGCCTTCACAGCGTTTCTCCTGGGAGGACTGTGGTTTCAGGTCCCACGGCGTCTCTATGGTTCTGACAGCCTAGAAGGACCGGAACGGCACTTCCGGGAAGATGGCGGCGTACGAGTCCGGCATGGCACGTGTTTTAGTGGAGAGGACCCCGCGGTGACGGTAAGCTCCATCTTTCCCTGGTTGGTGGCACTGGGAGCCCGGGCTCAGTAGCATGTGTGGGAGCAGTGGAGTATTTTACCCTAGTGGTTGGAACTTAGATCTGAAGAGGAAGGAGGCTGAGGGAAAGGGCAGAGCCCTTTAGGACCGCCGTAGGAAGAATGCCCCGGGCCACTTCTGAAAACAGATTGACCTGGGAGAACACAGTGCCCTCACAAAGGCTGCGGCACACAGCTTCTGTTCAAAAATCCTTTCAAAAGTCCATTAAAGCGATTTCACCTGTGTCATTCAGTTGGAACACGGAACGTCTACAAGCGTTCTCGATTTTTGTCGCTATGCTAAGAGGGTAGTTTCAAATTACTATGACAGGGATAGGCTGTGGTCTTGTAGCAGAAAGCACAGATAGGAAATTGAAGAGTGTAGTGACTAAGGACGCTAGTTCTGGAACGCCTGAATACCAATCCCGGATCCACTACTAGCTAATTTGGGCAAGTAAGCCTCTTAATGCCTATTTCATCATTTTCAAATTAGGGATAATAACACTTACCAGTAGAGTGGTTGGCAGGCTTAAATGAGATAATCCTGTGAATCTGTGAATTAGTGATAGACTGGCAATTAGTAATTTTAGTGTATAAATTAGATCATGCCATTCTGGGTCCAAAAGAAGAAACATATGTAAAAAAACAGAACTAGTTGGTGATGTCACAGCGAAAGGATCATTTTGGAGTCAGGCAACTTGGGGTCATATTTCAGTTCTATCTCTTACTAGCTGTGTAACCTCAGGCTAAAAAACCAGGTCTTGTTTTCCTCATTTGTTAAATAAGGATACATTACAGGACTGGCAATATTAAACAATATGAAAATATGTGTATTTACCAGTTAAGGGCAGACAACAAGAGTGCCCTTCCTAAGCTGGACGGTTTCAAAGGGGAAGCACCAACAAGGCTGAATGAAATACAGCAGCTGTCTGAAACAGGGGTCCTCAAACTTTTTTTGTAGTTTTTGGCCGGGGCTGGGTTTGAACTCGCCACCTCTGGCATATGGGACCAGCACCCTACTCTTTTGAGCCACAGGCGTGGCCCCATCCTCAAACTTTTTAAATAGAGGGCCAGTTCACTGTCCCTCAGACCGTTGGAGGGCCAGATAAATGTCCTAGGCAGGTGACAGTTTGAGGACACCTGATCTGAAAGAACTGTGTAAACCCACACCAAGAAGGCAGTATGTGCTGAGGCACAGGTACAGGGTATGGTCTTTATGAAGTACCATTATCTTATAACTCAGGTTAATAAGCACCACGTAGCTTTGTTTCTACGTGGCAATATGTTTTGTTTGTTTGTTTTTGAGACAGAGTCTCATAATGTCACCCTTGGTAGAGTGCTGTGGTGTCACAGCTCACAGCAACCTCAAACTCTTGGGCTTAAGCGATTCTCTTGCCTCAGCCTCCCAGTAGCTGGGACTATGGACACCCACCACAATGCCTGGCATACTTTTGTTTTTGGGTTTTGTTTTGTTATTATTGTCGTTGTTTATCAGGCCCTGGCCAGGTTTGAACCCACCAGCCCCAGTGCATGTGGCCCATGCCCTAACCACTGAGCTACAGGCACCGAGCCTGTTTGTTTGTTTTTGAAACAGAGTCTCACTTTGTCACCCTTGGTAGAGTGCCGTGGCATCATAGCTCGCAGCATCCTCAAACTCTGGCTCAAGTGATTCTCTTGCCTCAGCCTCCCAGGTAGCTGGGACTACAGGCACCTGCCACAATGCCAAACTGTTTTTAGAGACAAGGTCTTGCTCTGGCTCAGGCTGGTCTCCAATCTGTGAGCTCAGGCAATCCACCCACCTCAGCTTCCCAGAGTGCTAGGATTACAAGGCGTGAGCCACTACATGGTACTATGTTTTGTGAGGTAGTGTGTAGTGGTAAAGAATATGGACTGTGCAGATAACCTGCCAAGGTTTGAGTTCTACACACAGTTGCTGTATGACCTTGAGGAAGTCACCTAACCTCTTTGGTTTCCTTCTTTAAAAAAATTGAGATAATATTATTTTCCTGAACAGGCTGAGAAGATTAAATAAAATGATCCATGCAAGTCTGGGTGCAGTGGCTCACACCTGTAATCCTAGCACTCTAGGAGGCTAAGGTAGGAGGATCAATTGAGCTCAGGAGTTCAAGATCAGTCTGGTCAAGAGACCTCATCTCTACTAAAAATAGAAAAATTAGCCAGTCCACATGGTGGGCATCTATAGGCTCGGAGGATGCTGGGGCAGGAGGGATTGCTTAAGCCCAGGAGTTTGTGGTTGCTGTGAGCTAGGCTGACACCATGGCACTCCAGCCTGGGCAACAGAGTAAGACTCTGTCTCAAAAACAAACAAAAAAACCCTGATGATCCATGTAAAGCCTTGGCATAGCCCAGCATATGAGTGCTGCACAGATTTAGGCATCATTAATAACACTAGTCCTCCTTGACTTCTCCATATGTCAGTGTTGGTCTCTAAGTGGCCTGACAGGGAGCTCCCCAAGGACCAGACCTCCTCCTTCCTCTGTCTCTCCAGGGCTCAGGAAAGAGAATTCTTATAGGAGTAGCAAGGATGGAGTTGATGGTTCCTTTGGGGGGAGTTGCCTGTGGCTCAGTGAGTAGGGCGCCGGCCCCATATACCGAAGGTGGTAGGTTCAAACTCAGCCCTGGCCAAACTGCAACAACAGCAACAAAATAGTTGGCTCAGTGATGGTTCCTTTGGGCACTTTCTTATTAAAGGAATGATACCACCTCTTCTTCCCTGGTGAGAGTCTGAGGACGTAGACTTTTTTCTCACCATGAGTGTTACCCCAGTGGTCAAGAGTCGTGGGATGAAGTTTGCAGAGCAGCAGCTGCTAAAGCATGGATGGACTCAAGGTGATCCCCCTGGGGCCTCTGCCCTATCCCCCCTTCTCTCTGCTTACTCTCTGCCTAGGAGTGAGGCATCATCCTTGATTACCCCTATGTAATCCATTCAGTTAAATGAGGAAAGGGTAATTTAAATTTGTGGAAGCAATTTTCTGGCTCTTCCAGAGGACTAGTGGAGGGAAGAAGAGACATGGCCTCTGTTCCAAAAGTTATGAAGTAAGAGATGGTTCAAGCTTAGAAAAAAGCAGCGGGGATACTGACATGATACTACTGTTTCCCCGAAAATAAGACACTGTCTTATATTTGTTTTTTCTCAAGAAGACACACTAGGGCTTATTTTCAGGGGATGTCTTCCTCTCCACGCCAAAATGCCCATCACTAGGTCTTATTACGGGGTAGGGTTTATATTTAACAAATGCATAGAAATCCTGCTAGGGCTTATTTTGGGGGAAACACAGTGGAAAGGAAGGAGCTAAGAGGACTTCCAAGAGGGACAGAGTATGCCTCAGTGCCAGGTGTGTTGGACAGCAAGGAGTAGCATGTGTTTGGGGGATGCCTTCCAAAGGGTCAGAATAGGCAGCTGAAATAGTCACTAATTGTGCTCTACAGGGAAAGGCCTGGGCCGGAAGGAAAATGGCATCACCCAGGCCCTCAGGGTGACATTGAAGCAGGACACTCATGGGGTAAGACTGGGTAGGCTAAGGGGTGTCAGTGTGGATGGGATAGGGGGACCCTTGAGGGCAGTTGGGAAGGTACTCAGAGCTCTTCCTTACTTACTCCCCTGGCAGGTGGGACATGATCCTGCCAAGGAGTTCACAAACCACTGGTGGAACGAGCTTTTCAACCAGACGGCAGCCAACCTGGTGGTGGAAACTGGACAGGTGTGAGTTCGGATAGATAGGCACATAAAATGGGGCCTGGGACATGTGGGAGTGGGAAGACATGGTATGTCAAGTGCCACTCACTGACACTTCCCCCACAGGATGGAGTACAGATAAGGCGCCTTTCTAAGGAGACCACCTGTCAAAATCATCCCAAGCCCAACTTGCTGTATCAGAAGTTTGTGAAGGTATTGGACATTGAAGGTGAAAGAGTCCAGCCTTTTTCCTTCTTTGATTTCACCTGGGACCTGAGCACTGCCCTGTGGGCCTTACCTACCCTCAGGGCTACCCTACAATGGTGGATCCTGTGATGAGGTTGGTTGCGTGGGTCCTGCCATCTGCTGAGGGAGCAGCAGTGGGAAGTGTGGTGTGGTCCTTCTTCAAGTCTGGAGCTGCCAGATTGGAGGTGGGGGTGGACACCTAACTCAAAAGACTTAGTAGCCAGGGGAGACTGAGGGATTATTTGGTCCATCCTCCTTTGTTGATGTGGCCAAAAGGGTAAAAAGTGGCTTGCTGAAGAGCTTGTAGCTGGCTACTCATGGCAGACAGGACTAGAACCCAGGTCTTCAGACTAACTGTGCACTGTGCCAATATAACGAAGCCAACATATAATGGGTGTCATGTGCTGAGTCTCCTTAGTAGACTGCCATGGCGTCACAGGTCACAGCAACCTAAGTTATTTTCTTGCCTCAGCCTCCCAAGTAGCTAGGACTATAGGCTCCTGCCACAACACCTGGCTATTTATTTATTTATTTATTTATTTTGAGACAGAGCCTCAAGCTGCCCTGGATAGAGTGTTGTGCCATCACAGCTCACAGCAACTTCCAGCTCCTGGGCTCAAACAATTCTCCTGCCTTCTCCCAAGCAGCTGGGACTACAGGCGCCCACCACAATGCCTGGCTATATTTTGGTTGCAGCCGTCATTGATGTTTGGTGGGCCTGGGCTGGATTCAAACCCACCAGCTCAGGTATATGTGGCTGATGCCTTAGCTGCTTGAGCCACAGGCACCAAGCCAACACCTGGCTATTTTTTTGTTGCAGTTATCATTGTTGTTTATCAGCCCCTGGCCAGGTTCAAACCTGCCAGCCCCAGTGTATGTGGCCAGAGCCCTAAACACTGAGTTATGGGCAACGAGCCTTTTTTTTTAAAGACAAGAGTCTCACTTTGTTGCCCTTGGTAGAATGCTTTGGCATCATAGTTCATAGCAATCTCAAACTCTTGGGCTCAAGCAATCATCTTACCTCAGCCACCTGAGTAGTCCTACCTCATTCTTTACAGCATCCTCACCTCTAGTCTCACTCCCTCATCAGTCCATCCTCCACAAAGCATCCAGATTGTTCTAAAACACAAATTTCATGTCACTGGCTCCCCTTTGACCTAAGATGACACAGTCCAGATTTATCAGACTGGCATATATGTGGCCCTTCATGTCTTGTCCTTGCCTTTTTCCCTGTGTCATCCCTTGCCACCTCTCCAGGACTTCTCACTTTAGCCAAATGGAATCTGTTTCTTCCATTGAAGGTACCATGTTTTTCTTTTTTTTTTTTT